AGGGAAATTATTATTTTTTTTAATTGAAAACCTAATTTTACATAGATCTGACACTTTATTTTAGTGTTTTGTATGGTGCATGTGATGCATGTAATGGGCAAAAAAAAATTGATTAAATAAAAAAAAATCTTCCTACTTTTGGTCAATAAAATTTTTTCAGGAGGGGGCATTTCAATGAGGCGGGAGGCAATTCCAAACAAACTATAATTCTATTTTGGCCTAAGTGACCCTGCATGTTAACATAATTGAAATAAAACAATCAGAGGCCTGCTCAATAGAGCAAGCACTTGCGAACATTTCTATTGGAGGTGTAGGAAATTTTTATGAGTGCTTGTGAAGGTTCGCTCTGTTGAACAGGCCTCTGGTGTTTAAAAGTACCGTAAATCTGGAAATTTTTGCTGTAGATAAATTTTTAGCAAATTTGCGAGTTCCTTGCATTCGCAGAAATATTTTTCTTAAAAACAAAACAACAATAAGAAAATGTAAACACAAGAGGCCCATGGGCCTCATCGCTCACCTGAGCACTGTGGCTAGGAAAAAGCAGAATTGGTTTATACTTGAAAAGCTTAAATCCAAAAGTAGTCCAAAGACCAATCATGGCTTTGCTATTCATGAGAAGAAGATTTTTAAAGAATTTTCCTATACATTTCTATGTAAAAATTTGGTCGGCCATTTAAGCCCCACCATACCCTTGGGGGTCATGATTTGAGCAAACTTGAATCTACACTACCTGAGGATGCTTCCATATAAATATGATCAATTATGGCTTTGCTATTCTTGAGAAGAAGATTTCTAAAGAATTTTCCTACAAATTTCTATGTAAAACTTTGGTCGGCCATTTTGGCCCCGCCCTACCCCTGGGGGTCATGATTTAAACAAACTTGAATCTACACTACCTGAGGATGCTTCCATATAAATATGATCAATTATGGCTTTGCTATTCTTGAGAAGAAGATTTTTAAAGAATTTTCCTATACATTTCTATGTAAAACTTTTGTCGGCCATTTTGGCCCTGCCCTACCCCTGGGGGTCATGATTTGAACAAACTTGAATCTACACTACCTGAGGATGCTTCCATATAAATATGATCAATTATGGCTATGCTATTCTTGAGAAGAAGAATTTTCTATGTAAAAATTTGGTCGGCCATTTCGGCCCCGCCCTACCCCTGGGGGTCATGATGTGAACAAACTTGAATCCACACTACCTGAGGATGCTTCCATATAAATATGATCAATTATGGCTTTGCTATTCTTGAGAAGAAGATTTCTAAAGAATTTTCCTATATATTTCTATGTAAAACTTTGGACGGCCATTTTGGCCCCGCCCTACCCCCGGGGGTCATGATTTGAACAAACTTGAATCTACATTACCTGAGCATGCTCCCATATAAATATGATGAATTATGGCTTTGTCATTTTTGAGAAGAAGATTTTTAAAGAATTTTCCTATATATTTCTATTTAAAACTTTGGTCGGCCATTTTGGCCCCGCCCTACCCCCTGGGGTCATGATTTGAACAAACTTGAATCTACACTACCTGAGCATGCTCCCATATAAATTTGATGAATTATGGCTTTGTCATTCTTTAGAAGAAGATTTTTAAAGAATTTTCCTATATATTTCTATGTAAAACTTTGGTCGGCCATTTTGGCCCCGCCCTACCCACGGGGGTCATGATTTGAACAAACTTGAATCTACATTTCCTGAGTATGCTCCCATATAAATATGATGAATTATGGCTTTGTCATTTTTGAGAAGATTTTTAAAGAATTTTCCTATATATTTCTATGTAAAACTTTGGTCGGCCACTTTGGCCCCGCCCTACCCCCAGGGGTCATGATTTGAACAAACTTGAATCTACACTACCTGAGGATGCTCCCATATAAATATGATGAATGAATTTTCCTATATATTTCTATGTAAAACTTTGGTCGGCCATTTTGGCCCCGCCCTACCCCCGGGGGTCATGATTTGAACAAACTTGAATCTACACTACCTGAGCATGCTCCCATATAAATTTGATGAATTATGGCTTTGTCATTCTTTAGAAGAAGATTTTTAAAGAATTTTCCTATATATTTCTATGTAAAACTTTGGTCGGCCATTTTGGCCCCTCCCTACCCCCGGGAGTCATGATTTGAACAAACTTGAATCTACACTACCTGCGGATGCTCCCATATAAATATGATGAATTATGGCTTTGTCATTTTTGAGAAGAAGATTTTTAAAGAATTTTCCTATATATTTCTATGTAAAACTTTGGACGGCCATTTTGGCCCCGCCCTACCCCCTGGGGTCATGATTTGAACAAACTTGAATCTACACTACCTGAGCATGCTCCCATACAAATTTGATGAATAATGGCTTTGTCATTCTTTAGAAGAAGATTTTTAAAGAATTTTCCTATATATTTCTATGTAAAACTTTGGTCGGCCATTTTGGCCCCGCCCTACCCCCGGGGGTCATGATTTGAACAAACTTGAATCTACACTACCTGAGGATGTTTCCCCATAAGTTTCATCTTTCCTGGCACAGTGGTTCTTGAGAAGAAGATTTTTAAAATATGCCACCAAATTTTCATTAATTCCCAATTATCTCCCCTTGAATGAGGGCGTGACCCTTCATTTGAACAAACTTGAATCCCCTTCACCCAAGGATACTTTGTGGCAAGTTTGGTTGAAATTGGCCCAGCGGTTCTGGAGAAGAAGTGGAAAATGTGAAAAGTTTACAGACAGACAGACAGACGGACAGACAGACGGACGCCGGACAAAATGTGATCAGAAAAGCTCACTTGAGCCTTCGGCTCAGGTGAGCTAAAAATAGTAGTAATTCGCAAAATTTTGAAACATAAAAATTAATCAACAGCATTTTGACCCAGATTCGCAAAATAAAATCGACGTAAAAATTTCCAGATTTACGGTATATATAAAATGCATCTAAGCTGGATGTTTCTCTTCATATTCTTTGGTATCAAACAACGTAATTTAACAGTACAAACAGGATAGGTAAGGGAGCTTTCTGGGTATATTATGTTTTACTGATAATAAATGCACATTTTACAGACTGTGGATGTTAAAACAACATTGCTTAGTAATATAAAGGGAAAAATGGAAGTTTGCTATAAGATCTTTATGGTATTTCTGTATAGGCTCACATTCCACTAGAATCCACAGCTATGGATCTGACTGCAGCACCGTGACAAAGCATCTTCACCAGAGGCTCATTAACATTAGGCGACCACATCGTCACACTTCCTATAAGCAGTAATGAAGAAACTCATTATTAATAAAAAGAATATTTGGTTCATACTAATGGCTGGCTCTTCTGTGTATGGTAAACCCTCTTGTGTGCAATTTGTACATCTACCTACATTGATCTATTGATTACATCATTGAATGATACATGTAACACTGCCCTAAGCCAGTTCAAATGCAATGCTCCAATAATATTTTCAGAATTAAGTCCTGAATTTGTCTTTGAAACAACAATTAATTTTCCCTGTACAGAGACTTACCTCCGGGATGTCCGAGGCAGATGATGGCATTGTGAGGATTCTGACACATGACGTCCAGCCTGCCCAGACCAGTGCTGTGTCCGGCGACCTTCTGACCCACCGAGACATCCAACCAGTACAGGTAACCATTGACATTCTGGAGAGATAGCATCAATAAATCACAACTTTTTTATTTCAAGATATCTGGTGATTGTGAGATTAGGAGGGGTAGGGTTTGTATGAATCTAAATACCAGTATTTTCTGTATAATTTTATGAGTAAAATCTTTTAAGTTGTATTTACTTAACTCCCTGCTATTTTCTAATTACTTGCATCTTGATTTGCGCAATTAATTTCAATTTAATATTCAAATACCCAGATGTCTCACTGCTATTTTCTAATTACTTGCATCTTGATTGGCGCAATTAATTTCAACTTAATATTCAAATACCCATATGTCTTAAATACTTTTTTATTTCAAAAGCCTGAATTTCCAAATGAGAACATTTAAACATCTTCAACAAAGAAAACAACATAAGAAATCTTACCGAGCTGGCCAGGAGGAAGTGGTAGGGGAGAAACTCCAGCCTGAGAACCTCATGTAGCTGCTTCAGACAGTGTAACTCTATCCCCTGATTGTCATACACATAGGTCCACTCCTTCTGGGCAACAGCAAACATTGTCTCCTGATGAAGCCACCTGTAAACAAATGACATCAATAAGTATGAATTTGGGTATTCCATCTATAAATATATGACACATATATGCAGGAATATGGGCATTATTCTGTGAATTGAAAGTGCTGAAAAATAATACAGTACATAAATACATACAGTACAGTCTTTGACTAACCCCATGAGTCAGAAGCCCGGGACCTGGTACAATTGGAAGGAAGCATGTGGAAATTACACACTTATCACTTATAAGCCCAAAGGGCATGTAAATTCTGAGGCATAAGCCTTAAATAAGACCAATAACATTATACAGAATTAAAAGTCTTTGATTCTCCAACTAAAGTGAAGCAAATAAAATTTTAATGACAGTTTATTCTACCATGATTTCCAAGGGCCTTTAAGTCTTTTTTTTCAAAAGAGACACAAAGAGTGTACAGGTTGAAAAAATATTAATGTCAAGACAATAGATCCATAGAATGGAATTCGGATCATTTCCTTGGCATGAAATGGCAAATACATGTCAGAATAAAATAACTTGATAAATTTTTGGTCATGTAAATATTTTTTCAGGCTAGTGTAATTGGTGGTTAAACTTGCCCAAAGGGCATGTGCTAAAAATAAGATTTTGCGAAGACTGTACATATGTCTAGTGCTGCTGAGCTTTCTGAAAGTTCCTATGGTCAATGCATTTCTTTCATGACACAATGTCTCCTACAAACTTGACTTCATCATCAATGACTATAATTGTGAAGTATGGTTGAGAGTTTTCTGCATTTTAGGTTTCACATTTAACATTTGTGAAAAAAGATTTCACTTAAGGAATAAGAAAGAGATTTTTCTCAAAGTAAAAGTTTGTTTTATGAACCTTATGTCTCTGACTGTTTCCATGACATTAACTTCACACAGCAATCTCTTTGTCAGCCAATCCATAGCTGCTACATGACCTTTGCTCCCAGCTATTAATAGATATTTCCCATTCCTGGTGTACTGCAACTTGTATGGGCCAAATTGTGGAAGGTCCAGATTGAAATGCTAAATAAATGAAGCAGCACATATATAGGCAATGTAAACAAAAATGTTTATACACACTGACAAAGATTATTGCTATTAAACAGAAAAGTAAATTTAAAGTAAACTATTTTATTAACCAATCTACAGAATGTTTATATTAAAACAGAATTGATTAGTAGTCATTGAAATTTTACTTTTTTAGGGTGGACATGAATTAATATGTCCTATCCAACATAAACTGGGAGATGAATTTTATGTCAAAATAGACTAGGTGTCGAATTGTGAAGTGTAAATAATCATGGAAAAAAGTAAAATGGGAAAGAAATTTAACATCAGAAGTCACAGTGCGGCGGATTGAACAAATTTTGATTAGACAGGTTTTTCTGTTAATCTACTGCATACCAGTAGTTCTAGTATCACAGAAATTTAGATCAATAAAATGAAGACATTAATTAAGTTACTACAGTGTATACTGACTTTCTGAGCTGTTGTTATGTCTACTGACTGGACAATGTCAGACTGACTGACATTAGTGGTGCTCTCTCCATCCTCCGGTATCAGAAAACTGAAAGAAAAAAAGTTATCATTATTCTTACTGTAAACTAGAAAATTGACCAGTCAGCAAGGGCCCCGCCATGGGGTAGAATTATAAGGGTGCAGCTTATGGAATGATTAAAAAATGTACGAAGAATAAGCAACAGCAACTGTATTCTTAAAATTTCAAGATAATTCATGAATATTCAAAAACCTGTAAATAATACCCTTGTATTTACATTAGGCAGTAAAGAAAAACTTAATATTGGATGTATATTTAAACAATAATGAAGCTTATGTTATATAAAACGCCAGCCTTCAATGAATGCAAATATCATGAAGACTTGACCTTAACTTCAAAACAAACAGCATTTGCAGACAATTTAAGGTTTTCATTAATCTTAAAATGACAGATAAAGATAAGCCTACTACTAAATTTTCTGCAGCAGGCTAGATAATTAATCCCAAGGGATTAACTGTACCTCTCTCATCCTTTTATTCTAAAGTTACAATAACATGTATAAGAACTTTTTCAGTATTTATAATGATAGAATGGGGTTTTTATGCAACTACCTTAAAAATTTATAATATTCTTGAATTTACAAAAAGGGGAAAAAAGTAAAAATAAAAAATAAATCTTCTTTAATCTATTTCTTGTTTTTAGAATTCAATGAAATCATATCTATTTTAACAACCAGAAGTCTCTGTCGAGACTGAAGCTCTACTGGTTTGAACTTATAGCAAAGGAAGAGAAGAGTACTTAAGCAGCTGGGATTTGAAACTTTACAACAGCAATATATAGAATAATGATCGTTGATAAAGTCTCTTTATGTTCTTAGTGTAGTCTACTTGTGTGCCAAGTTATACTGAAATCAGACCAAAACTGTAGGAGGAGTAGCATTTTGAAACAATTTTACAGACATTTCTATTTTTAGTAACCACGGCAACACAGTTCATCAAAATTAAAATTTGATAAACAGAATTATGTATCTTCGTGTATTCTACTTGTGTGCCAAGTTATACTGAAATCAGACCAAAACTGTAGGAGGAGTAGCATTTTGAAACAATTTTACAGATATTTCTATTTTTAGTAACCACGGCAACACCGTTCATCGAAATCAAAAACCGATACACAGATTTATGTATCTTAGTGTATTCTACTTGTGTGCCAAATTATACTGAAATCAGACCAAAACTGTAGGAGGAGTAGCATTTTGAAAGAATTTCACAGAAATTTCTATTTTTAGTAACCACGGCAACACCGTTCATCGAAATCAAAAACCGATACACAGAATTATGTATCTTAGTGTAGTCTACTTGTGTGCCAAGTTATACTGAAATCAGACCAAAACTGTAGGAGGAGTAGCATTTTGAAAGAATTTCACAGAAATTTCTATTTTTAGTAACCACGGCAACACCGTTCATCGAAATCAAAAACCGATACACAGAATTATGTTTCTTAGTGTATTCTACTTGTGTGCCAAGTTATACTGAAATCAGACCAAAACTGTAGGAGGAGTAGCATTTTGAAAGAACTTCACAGAAATTTCTATTTTTAGTAACCACGGCAACACCGTTCATCGAAATCAAAAACCGATACACAGAATTATGTTTCTTAGTGTATTCTACTTGTGTGCCAAGTTATACTGAAATCAGACCAAAACTGTAGGAGGAGTAGCATTTTGAAAAATTGTTTACAGACAGACAGACGGACGGACGCCGGACGCATTACTATCGCATAAGCTCTTCTGGTCTCTGACCAGTAGAGCTAAAAATAAAGTATGAACATTTATATTTAAATCCACATTTCTGAGTGTTCATAGCATTCCAAATTGACTTAACTTCAAAACAAACTTCACTTGCAGACAGAGGTGGTAATTCATCTCAATTTGACAGATAAAGATAATGCTTTGGATTTTCTTCAGCAGGAAAGCTAATTAATCTCAAGGGACTCATAGCAGCATTCAGCTTACAATGGGAACATCTTTAGCAGTTATCTCTCTTTGCCAATGCATTCTTATATAAAGTTAAGGAATCTACCCCACCACCCAGCTCCAAACCAGGGGACATACAGAAACAAACTTAGCATCAAAATATGTCTTTCTGCCTATTAAACTACCATACCAAATTTGATCTTAATTGGGCAACCATAAAAAAAAGTTATTGGGAAAAAACAGATAATTTGTGGACGGAAGAGTGACAGACGGACAGTTAGACAGACAGACAGACGGACAGACAGAGTGATTACTATAGGGAAATCAGACCAAAACTGTAGGAGGAGTAGCATTTTGAAAGAACTTCACAGAAATTTCTATTTTTAGTAACCACGGCAACACCGTTCATCGAAATCAAAAACCGATACACAGAATTATGTTTCTTAGTGTATTCTACTTGTGTGCCAAGTTATACTGAAATCAGACCAAAACTGTAGGAGGAGTAGCATTTTGAAAGAACTTCACAGAAATTTCTATTTTTAGTAACCACGGCAACATCGTTCATCGAAATCAAAAACCGATACACAGATTTATGTATCTTAGTGTAGTCTACTTGTGTGCCAAGTTATACTGAAATCAGACCAAAACTGTAGGAGGAGTAGCATTTTGAAAGAATTTCACAGAAATTTCTATTTTTAGTAACCACGGCAACACCGTTCATCGAAATCAAAAACCGATACACAGAATTATGTATCTTAGTGTAGTCTACTTGTGTGCCAAGTTATATTGAAATTAGACCAAAACTGTAGGAGGAGTAGCATTTTGAAAAATTGTTTACAGACAGACAGACAGACGGACGGACGCCGGACGCATTACTATCGCATAAGCTCTTCTGGTCTCTGACCAGTAGAGCTAAAAATAAAGTATGAACATTTATATTTAAATCCACATTTCTGAGTGTTCATAGCATTCCAAATTGACTTAACTTCAAAACAAACTTCACTTGCAGACAGAGGTGGTAATTCATCTCAATTTGACAGATAAAGATAATGCTTTGGATTTTCTTCAGCAGGAAAGCTAATTAATCTCAAGGGACTCATAGCAGCATTCAGCTTACAATGGGAACATCTTTAGCAGTTATCTCTCTTTGCCAATGCATTCTTATATAAAGTTAAGGAATCTACCCCACCACCCAGCTCCAAACCAGGGGACATACAGAAACAAACTTGGCATCAAATTTTGTCTTTCTGCCTACTGACCTATCATACCAAATTTGAACTTAATTGGGCAACCATAAAAAAAGTTATTGGGAAAAAACAGATAATTTGTGGACGGAAGAGTGACAGACGGACAGTTAGACAGACAGACAGACGGACAGACAGAGTGATTACTATAGGGCACCCGCAAATCCTTGCGGGGCCCTAATTAATATCCTCTCTGTTTAAATCAAGTCGTTTCTATCACAATCTTCATCACAAATAATTTCTGTCAGAATGTAAAACTTTCCCTATACATGTACATGTAGCTCTCTTTGTAAGATGCATTTACAAAAGACAATCTTATAGCCAAACAAAAAAGGTAATCTGATTATGTAAAAACTTACCCGGGCTCTTCTTGTAAGAGGCGTTCTGATCGAGCTGCCTGTTTTACTGCCATTTTTAACTTCTTTTCATTTTGAACCAGTTTAACATGTCCATGGAAGGTACGTGTTCCTTTCTAAATTGACAAGTTATTGTTTTTTAAATAAAAATTTGGTTAATTTTTTCTGATACATTCATATAGATATGTCTTTTTTATAGCTTTGATAAAATTAATAAATTATTAAGTTGATGTTGTAAAGGATCTGTAAATAGATTTACTGTTTGCATCTGTTTTCCTCTCTGATATTTTGACATTAACTTTTTGGATACAGGTGCATCTCCTGGGTATTCATCCTGTATAAAGATAAATTATTATACTCACAGTATATATTTTTAAAAAAGAAATTAATCAAACAAAAAGTGCACATATAAAATAAAACATTATACATGAAATTAACTAAACTAAGCTAAATAGTTTAGAATGAATATGATATATACATCATGATACATGCAATTGAAAAGTCTCTGAAAATATTTTTACAGAAGTTTGTAGCCTATTATTTCATTTTCCCGAAGTTTTATTCATGCAAACTTGCAAATGACATTTATAAGTCATACTTTTCTAAATTCTCTAGGTCCTTTGTGTGATTTCTTATTCACATTGCTGTCTTTTTTGGATGCTTTAGAGTCCTTCCTTGGGCCGTGTTGAAGTCTTTTAACATCTTTATGAGGTCCATCTTTCTGTACTTTACTTTTCAGTTTGTTTTTCACTTTCTCTGTTGGTTGTTTGTATCTGACTGTATCTGATGGTTGCTCATCTCTCACTTTATTTGACAGTTGTTTGTCTCTCAGTTTATCTGATGGTTGTTTGTTGTCACTGATGTCTTTAGATTCTGTTCGCTGTTCTTCACAGGTCCCATCCTTTCTTTGTTTCCTCTTCTCCTTTCGCTGCTTAAACTGGGCCTTCCTTTTTTGAAAGTCTTTAATAAGTTTTTTACGAAATTTTTTTATGGACTTTTTCGTTTGGTTAGAGTTTTCTTTGCCCAACTTGGATATTTCACCATCAATCCCTTCTTTCACCACACCATCTGATTTTGTAGTATCCATTAGTCTGAGCAATATTCCTTAGATTTGGGAAGAGGAAGAAGGTAAATTGCTTTTACAGCTGTGCTGTTGCTCAATGCTGTAATATTGATTGAGAATATAATAAGACCGCGGAACTTTAACTGGCAAAATTGGAAATATACAGCTTACGTCATTTCTATCTTTTACAATCAAAACATTCAAAGATAGACAGCGTAATGGGCGGGTACAATTCGAAGCGGACGTTTGGAAAACATCGGATTGAAATTGCAGATCAAAATTAATTTTCAATCCACCTCAGCTACGCTAGAAGGCACATTACTGATTGACCCAAAAGACAGTATAATTTCAATTTTGGTACAGTTTGAATTTTTTTGTCCAGTGTTTTTAAAAAAAATATTAAGGGACAAATATTTCATTTCTCTTTGGTAAATATATGTTTGTGTTAGGAGAGGGGGGGGGGGGGGGGGGAGGGGCTTAACAATTTTAAATAAAGTTGTCCAATATTTTTCAGAGAGAATAAGTATAAAACTAATGCACTCTTATAGCCCTAGAAATAAAATATATTGTCATGTTACATGTAAGTCATTACCTGACTCGACAATTTTTTACCCCCCCCCCATCTAGAATCAAATATCTCCTGAAAAATAACCTTTGTCTTCTATGATCTTTCGAGTCCCTAAAATTATAAGCTAAAACTCGTATTAATGTGAACTTCAAACAATATGTATTCGGGAGTTGAAATTAGTTGATTTTTGGATCATATATTCACTCTTAGCTTTGAAAACAGTTCAGGTGGAATGAAAATGAATTTCGATCTGCAATTTCAATCCGATGTTTTCCACATGTCCACGTCGAATTGTAGCGTAGCTGAGGTGGATTGAAAATGAATTTCGATCTGCAATTTCAATCAGATGTTTTCCAAACGTCCGCGTCGAATTGTACCCGCTCATATACGCTGTCTATCACTGAATGTTTTGATTGTAACAGATAGAAATGACGTAAGCTGTATATTTCCAATTTTGCCAGTTAATGTTCTGCGGTCTTATGTATGGCTTTGGTTATTATACTATAGATTTTTCTTCAATTATTTATTTAGCTTGAAAAACTGGAGAGTCCCACTCATTGTGGTATTGTAATGGGACTTAAGGGTGAAACGTTTACTGAATTTTGTAAACGTTTAAACGAGCAGCAGTAAACGAAACGGTACCGTTTAAACGGGAGATTTTTATGGTTGAATTTTTATGGCTACTTACTCATAAAACACTAATTTAATAAACCATTTTATCACTATAATGTAAGTGTGAGTTGTCATTACTGTTTATTTGTTGGTTTTTATGACGAAAGATAAGGAAGTGTCAAAAAAACTAAGATAGCAATATAAAAATATAATACGATAACAATGAGGGTTCCGGTTTACGTTTAACTTTTCAAAGCTCTATATTCAACATTATACCGTTATAAGCATGATACTTTTTATTTTCTTATCAATAAAAAGCAACAACAAAGGTTATTTATTTTAGAACATATTCTTGGAAAAATAAAATAATACATCGCTAGTTTTCACTACTCGGAAATCGGAATTAAATATGGTTTCTAGAAGTTTTCTTTAATATTACGTTTCCGGCATCGATTATAACAAAAAAAAAATGTTTGTAACAGACACAGAGTGTGTTTTCTTTAGTAAATATGAAATAAAACAACTTGTTTGGATAAAAGGTTTTTTTTCTGATAGACATTAATTAATAACCTTCGTGTAAACGTTTACTCAATTTGTAAACGTTTAGAGCATTTAATCGAAACGTCGCCGTTTACACGTGTAATCGTTTCGCCCTTAATGGGACTACATACTAAAATAGACCTGCTGTAACCTGCCAGGCAAAAATATCAGGGATTAGTCTAGGTTTTTGGGGAAACTACCCTTTCTGAGAAATTGGGAAAGTCTGAGAACCACTCAAGTGAGTGCAGGGCAAGCCCTGCTTGGGCGACATTTGAATTTCAGCATTTTTATGACCATTTAAAGCGCTTAAAGTAACAAAGTAAAACCACATTTCTCATATACTGAAAAATTTTACTTTAAATTTTCAGTTTTTATGAAGGAAAAAAATATTTGAGGTTTTTATTATTATAAAGGAAATATTTTATTCATCAAGAGGGGAAAATTAGATCTTCAGGTGAAATTTTCTTTAGGGGAAAAACACCTAATATCAGTAGTAAATATGCCCTAGATTAATCCCTGAATATATTTACAAAGTATGTCTATACGAGTAACGACACGCCATGCTATTTATCAAGTAAATTAGATTCATATTTTTTTTTATATAAATGGCTTTAATAGACCACATAGATAATGTCTTAATAAAACACAAACATTTTTTATAGCACAATTTGGAGAATTCATTAGTTTTTCAGACTTCATATGTACTTGAGTACAACTATCTAGAAATTCCACACGCCTGTTGCGTTATTGCTGATGTATATTTTATTTAATATATCTGTATTCTGTATTAGAAATACATGTAAACTATAAGTTGACAATTAAGTTATTATCAACCAAAAAAATATTTGTATTCATTGCATACTTTCGTATCCACTTTCATAATTTAACTGTAAATAAACGTATTTATTAAAATGTCCATAAATAATTTGACAATTTAGGTATGTATGATGTATTATCTATTCTAATGGGATGAGTAAATTCGGTCACAGATACAGTGTAGTCCGCACATATTTATGTCAACTTTAACATAAAATTCAAAGCCGTGTTTTATTCATGATAAAACCCCTAACTTCCAATATATTTTACTAAAAAAATTATCGTAAAAGAAACAGTTTTTAGTTTGTAAATTCTCTATTTACCTTTTTACACGTGACCACGTGTGCGGTGTGGAATGAAAATCAAAACATAATAGATATTAGACAAGTCGTACAACGAAAATCAAGTCGTTCCTTGATACATATTCCATCCACCGAATATAGTTTTGTTTTTCCATATGGAATCCATTGTGGCATATATGAAGAATAATTTATGAAAGAAGACAAGAAAGAAATGAATGTACAGAGAGTCTCTGGCAATTAGAATTAAATACCATTACGTCCAGAACGAATTGTCGGTGAGAGGTACATGTATAGGTGGCTCAGGCCTAGCTGCAATAATGTAGCCCTCTCCGAAATCAGATAAAAAAAAATCGGAGAGGGCTACATTATTGCAGCTAGCTCAGGCCTTATAGTCATCTGTGCCTTTTCTGTGGGTAGAGAAAATCAAAGTACTGAAAGTACTGGGAAGCGCTAAGCATGGTTCAACTAAACCCGCCTCTTGATTGCCTTGACTGCTACGTTAAATAAAACTGAGTGTAAGTTTTGTTACTTTAATAAAGTCTAAAAAATGAAAAAAAAAAATTAACTAAGTGTTGCATTTTGGATCCAGGTTTCTGCGATAAAATTGAATTTATATCAATATTACAGTCCGATTTTTTTCTTCTGACTTACCTCATTTCAGATTAGGTATAAAACTCTGCATTAGCTGGAAAGTTTTCTTTGTTGTTGTTTTCTTTTTTTTTGGGGGGGGGGGTGTGTGTGAAAAATTTTGAATACAAAAAAATGTTGCTGATATCCTTCTCTTGAATGTAAAGTAGAGAACACAAAACCTTTGAATGAAATTTTGAACAATGTATAATTCTACTCTCAAGAATATGAAGAATATTTTTCGTACTAAAATTCAAAATTGGCTGTCGGCGACTTTAATTGTTATCATCGGCCGCAGGGGTGATCTGTCTATTGTGTTTGAAAGTGTACAGGGAGAAATGAGTTATTATTTTTTATTTATTCCATCTTTAATGATAAAATATATTAGGATTATGAATTAACGATTTTTAAAATGGCATAATATTTTGTTTGAACTGTTTTTAGCATATTTTAATATTTAATCCTCCTCATAAATATTTATAAAGTTAAAATTTATATAAATAAGGTTTTACAAAATAAAAATTCCTAGCATAGGACCTTGTAATATATACACACAATCATTATAAGACTTAGTTTCTGGGTATATAAATAATGAATTGAACTTTTAAATTTTGTTTTGAATATGCTACACTTGAATAATATGATAATAATATTTTTTCAATATTTCACATTTATTTTGATACCAATCCAACCTCGTGCAGCATGTTGCTATTGTTACGGTGTAAAAAACAACTTTTTTGGACTTATTTTAAATTACAGTGTAAATTAACTTTTGGGACTTTGTGTAAATTATTGTCAAAACTTTTCTTATATTTCGGCAAATGTGATCAATTATATAAATTCCGCACAGCCTTAATCCCACCTGAGGCATAGTCAGAGATTGGACAGTTAATTCCTTAAATGACATCTGTTTATATTTATTGTCACTTAATCTTTCATCTTTAATTCTATTAAATACATACTGCTAAAATGTCACTATTCGCTCAATAATTGTTTGATACTTGATTTCTATATACCTTTTTGTATTTTTGTATTTTATTTGAACCGGAGACATTACATCTCATAGGTATACAATATTCATACATAAGATTTGTACAGGTTATATACAATATACATGTATTAATTACACAACAATATCATTTAATTATTATTTAGAACATCATTTCTTAATTGATGAGAAAAATACAAATATTTGTCCAGGTTACATAGTTCTTTAGTATTTGTAGAACTCAGTAGCTGTGCTAATTTAAATACTGATGGTTTTTTAAAATAATAACACTTAATATATTTAATTCTAAGTTCTTCATAACGAGGACATTTTAATACAAAATGAAATTCGTCCTCTATCTCACCTGACATACATATTTCACATTTTCTATCTTTTCTTTCTATATTACTATATTACTTTTGTTAATCCTTTTATTTAACTTTGTCTTTGTTCAGTATGTATGTTTTGTTGTGAAGAATTATAGTCAGTTGGAATCAGACCTTCGGTGCTGATAGTTCCCAAGCTCATGCAAAAGTATATTCCTTGCTAATTCTATATAAATTAAAAGTACAAAATTTGTAACTCGTGTTTGTGTCTTGAGGTTTAAAAGAATCTGGGTTCAACAATAAGAGGAAAGCTCACGGTTGAACCAGAATCAGTAGTAGACGGACGAAATAAACCTGTAAAACTATCATCATGTAACAAAAATCCCCGAAGACTTTATAATTGTGGACACCCCCCCCCCCCCCCCCCCCCCCCCCCCCCCCCCCCCCCCCCCCCCCCCCCCCCCCCCCCCCCCCCCCCTCGATATATTCAACCCCAGGGCTTGTTGGACATTTTTTTAAACAAATTATATTTATTACACTTATTCCTCATGTCTACAATATGAAGGGGGATTCCTGTCCGCAAGTACCCGTTATCCTTCATCTCTGACTCTCTCACACATGAATTATAATTCATTTTTACCGAAATTTAAAAAAAAAAAAGCTTGGCAATTCTGTTTCTCGTGTTATATTTGAAGCAGAATTGACAATATTTCTTTTTAAAATAAAAATGTGAAATCACATACTCTTCTATTTAGAAAAAAAATATCACATTGAAATTCGTTCGTATATTTCTTGAACTCATTTTGGCGAAAATACTTTTTAAAAAATGCTTCAGTTTTTTAACAACCAATCGTTCAGTGAAATGGATTTTTTTGCATCAAAATATTTTGTTACAGATAAAAACTACAAAACAAGTATAAACTCTATATAAATGCGTTCAAGTTTGTACTGCTAAAAGATAATTTGATGCTGTGAAATCATTATATTGATTGCCCTCTGTGTAATGCGGTTTGTTCCCATCTCGCCTTAGCTGTAAAATTTAGCATTCACATTTCGCCTTAGTAAGCTCTCAGGTGAAATAATGTGATGAAGATTGAATATATATATTTAGCATCAAGTATTTTTGGGTATTACATTTATCATTTCATTCATTGTATTCATAAATTCCCATTAACTGTTAAATTCAATCTAAAAAAATTATCATTTAAATTTTTATATCAACCCAGTAATATTTACAAATGCTAAAATTCCCATTTCGCCTTAGTACTTTTTAACTTTTTCTTACCTGGATTTCACAGTAAAGGCGATATGGGAACACACTTGTAATGCAAGTGTGATAATAAAAATCCTCGTTTGTATAAAATTTACATTGTTTGAAATAAAGGCTTGTGCAGAAGAGGGCGTGACAAATTATGTAACGAAACGACAAAATGAAGATACAAATTAGATATAGTTTAATAAATAATTTTTTATGGAATTATGCTTCTAAAAGATTTAATTCCAATTTGATTTTTTAATACTCATTGATATTTTAAGCTTTATGAGACTTAAATACATGTGCGCATAAATCTTTTTTCGGTACTTGTATTAATATATAAACATGTATGGTCATTAGTTTTTCGAATTACCACTACAGAGATTACATGTACATTTGTGACATAATGAGTGTTTGCCAGTATACTAACGCACCATATTGTTCAGAGATAAGAACCGCCCTTATCCCCTACCGCAGGATTTCCGTACATATTAATATCGACTGTACCAATTAACACCTATTATGATAACTCCTACACTAAACTTAAGTAGCGTACAGAGGGTCGGGGATTGTTAGACGGCTCAGTAAAGTTACATAACTTGCTCAGCGGCGCTATATTATATATCACTCCGCGTAATATATATAGTTCGTCATTTTGAGAACATATAATATACAACATTAAAATATATAATTTATATATAATCAACTTTAAAAGGAACCATATTACACCACGGAGATAAATTAGGTCAACAATAGTAGCCCTTGCAAAGGCATTTTAGAACCCATTTGTTTACATAATTATTGCAGCCCGGAGGACCGGGCTGCTCTATACATACAAGTTTAAGTGTTGGTGTATGGGGATTGAGGTGGGAGAAGTTATTCAGAATTAACGGTTTTCTAAACATTGAAAAGATTGTTAATCAGAATGTTTTTTTTACATTTATAAATTACGAGATGCATAATATATTTACTTCAATAAAGTGAATCTGTAAAAATATATATGTTTTTCATATTTCATATATAAAGTTGCTTATCATTTACTATCGAAAAAATGACAGATCCCTTTTTTTAGAACATTGAATTTTACTTCTCGCATAAAAACGTACTCTGCACAGTTCGTGCTTTATATTCTAAAATTGAAAATTGATATATTTTTGAATATAGGCCTAGGTGTTGCATGCGTCTAACTTCAATTTATATTTTATGCAGCCAACATTTATTTGAAGAATTAATCAAGTTTAAAATGTTATCGTTTTTGTTTGATTTTTTATCCGACTTTAAGTTTTCAAAATATTCGCGAGTATCCTCTCCATCAATTAGACGCATGCCTTTTCACACATATCGAAGCGGTTTGATGATCAAGACTCATTTCCATTGTTTACTTTATATATTTCCCGGGCGAAAATTGATGGCTACATCAATGTTTTCTTGTCATTATTTATAGAGGGCGGGTCAGGGGTGCGTTCAAAATCTTAGTGCTAGATGGATATTAGGTACAGATACCAAATTTGAACAAGAATAGCAGCCATGTAAATAATATACATTATAAATATTTATACTAAGTTTGAAATCCTGTAATCCTACTTGGATAACACTTTGCATCACGCGACATGCTGTATATACCGGTATACTAACTGAAGGAATGTTCTATATCTAATCGTAAAGTCTCGTGACACGTACACATTCAATTTTTGCATGCTTTTTCCATACATCAGTTATAAATGTAATGATTGTATAATAGAATTTATTTTAACATCTTATGGGTAGACGAGCTGTCTTTTCAAAACAACTGGGTATGCAGCATATATTAAACTACGTGTAAGTTTACTAGGAACTATGGTATTGAGTGCAGCCATGATATATGCGGTCGGTAGAGGGCGTTGAATAAAAGATCGTGAAAATCTGAAGACACCCTATAAATCGCTTGCGCATGCGCGCTTAGCGCTGAAAAAGGCCACATCTGTAGTAGGGATTTTTGTATTAAAAGAAAACAAATATTATTTCATGACATCCTATCAACTAGCTGTGGAATCGAATTTAAGATCCCTCTAACAAATATATTTAATTAAGGTGCTCCAGCTTACCATTAGCAGAGATGAATAATTGATCCAGGCTGGAGCACAGGTGCTTGAGGACAGGACCCCCCCCCCCCCCCCCCCTTCGATATAGACCCCTGGGCTTTTTCGATTTTTTTCTCATAAAAAATCTTTCATTGCCATATTTGTGATAAGATCTATTCCAGCAAATCAAAAAATTACCTAAAACAAACGTTCTTTTAAATCTACCCTTCATTCTCTAGATATATCTCTGATATATCTATAGAGAGGGTAGATATTTTTATAAAATGTAAGTTCAAACAAATTTTCTGAATTGATAGGATAGATTCTACCACAAATGTGTCATCCATATATAATTTATGTGAAAAAAGTCGAACAGGCCCGAGGGTCTATATTTGGGGTTGGGGGTGGGGGGGGGGGGGTCCTGTCCTCAAGCGACTGTGGGCTGGAGTAAAAGCAGAACGTACATGGAAGCTAAAAATTAACATTGAAGAATCAGTTTGTATATTACATGTACTCGTAAATACACATCAGATACTTTAAATAAAATATTGTAATTTACACAAATAAATTAAATGTATTAAATTACATGTAATTGTACAAATCAATCAAAGCAGTTAATTATATTTCTCTTGATAATCAAATATTTAAAAAATCTATAATAAATTGTGATTAAATTAATAAATGGACAAATTACAACTAACAGTTATAACAAAAAATTAAAAAGTCGTTTTAAAAATTTGTTTTGTATATTCTTCTTCCTTTTATCCAATTTTTCTATTTCTCAACATGTATATTCAATCATGCACTTAGGTGATATGCATGTTTTTCGTGATAACTACTTTGTGATTTATTTTAAAATCCAAACATTCAATCATAATCACTTAGGTGGTATATGCATGTTTTCATGTTTTTTTATTATAAATTAATAAATGGTCGTCAGAGGCATAATGAAATTTAAATAGAATTTGGTGAATTCAAGGACATTTTTTTTAAATCAAAAGAACTACTCTGTGATTTATTTTAAAATCCAATCAATTATATAAATTTTTTTTAGTATATTGCACGGCTTATGGCGCCTGGGAACACACATGTACATTTCTTTTCACTCTCTTAGCCTAAAATATAGATATTCATCATCATCATCATCATCATCATCATCATCATCATCTCTCTCGCTCTCTCTCTCTCTCTCTCTCTCTCTGATGGGGTTATTATTTTTATTACCATTATTTAAAAAAAAAAATCATCTTAAAAATAAATTACATAGAAGTGTATTTGGATTTATATTGTTTTTTCTCTTAATCCGTGGTATGTATAGACACCTCCTTCTTTTTTCCGAATCCCTTTGAAAAAATTGGATCCGCACTCACTTAGGTGTCGATTAAATTTAAAAATTGTGTCAGAGTTGTCGATAAGCATAGCATTTTCCGGGGATTTAATACTGTGCAAATCGAAAGTAAAAAATAAAAATGGGGACACTCAAGCAGGTATTAGACCAATTTAATCAACCTGGTATACACTCAGATGAAAAATTGACACAAATAAGAAATCTTATAACGCAAATACTGGTAAGTACATGTATATATATTTTGTTAAATTGTTAACCTTGTCAGGGTTACTCGCAAACAAGTGTGAATTCCTGATTGTGTCGTAAACCTTTTGTTTGTGTTGTCCATTCTATAGCTTAGTTGAGCTAACTCCCCTAACAATCCATTATAATGTACATGTATGTCACTATGTGTATGTATAAATTCCTCCTGTTAGTGTGTCTTTCTTAACAATCACGCAACTCTTTCTCTCTTCCGTGCATGCATGTATATTGTATTTCGTATACTCAGTATACATGTACATGTATGTACACTGCACATACGTATATCAATAATCATTATATACAATTTATACTTTCTCTTTGTCCCATGAGGACGACAAAACTCTTCTCCATTGACTCGATTGAGTCGTATTTTCACTGAACGAATTGACCACATTTGACACAAATTTATTATTAATGGGGTGACATGAAAATGCATAATTTATAGATTTTAATTTGCTATGTCATTAATCAGAATTTTCATTATATATTAATACCATTTGTTAAAACTTTACATTTCAATGCGATATTTTGCAACTACATCTTTTAACATGCATGTATAAGGAGAGGAACTAATAAAGTTGTTAGAACTGGATTTCTGTTCATTTAATTCATTAAAAAAATAAAATGTTCAAATAATAAAAAAATAAATGCAGACATACTCAAACTAATATTGCATAGATTCAGTGATGATTATGAAAATCAGTTAATTTTATTATTTATTATTATTATTATTTCTCAACATAAGGACAGAGAAAAGACAGAAGTTCAACGGAAAATAGAACAGGAAGATTCACATGTGAAAAAAGTACAGGAAAGGTTTGAAAAATTTATCCTTTAGCTACTTAATAATTTTTATCAACATAAATTAGATTGACAATGTTCCATGCAGTTCCCAATATTCCTGCTTAGTATAGTACAATTCCATGCATTTTCAAATAGTATATGCATTTCTTCCATTCTTATAATTAAATTGATTATAGTCCTCCATCTGATATATTTTATATATTAAAACATGACTCAGAAACAAATACACCTTTAAAGTCAGCAAATATAATGGTTTGCATTAAATTTAAAATACGTTTTAAACTGTTTAAAAGAGGATGTACCTTTTATAAAAATAATTTAATGTGTGAAATATTGTGTATTCCACTTAATTTATAATCATTTATATAATTTTCATCAAAATTATTTATGCATTGTAATAAAAGCTTGATACATTGTGCATGCTTATTTTTCTTTTCACTTATTACTAAATATATTTTTTTCTTGATTGCTTGCAAATAATTAGGGTTAATACTATCCACTACTTATCATAGTGATAATATTTTTTTGAAAGGGAGTCAATGTTATCGCTACATTGCCAAAAATTTCAACTCATTACCGCTACATTTTTGTCCCCCGCTTGAAAAGTGGGGGATATTAATTTGGGTTTGTCCGTCCGTCCGTCTTTCTGTCTGTCTGTAACGCTTTCGTTTCCACACGATATCTCGAGAACCCTTTGAGCTTTTGCAATGAAATTTAGCATAGCAACTCCCTATGGACTAAAGAAGACCCCTATCGATTTTGAGGTCAAAAGGTCAAAGGTCAAGGTCATAAATAAGCAAATTCTGTCTGTTATAACACTTTCGTTTCCACACGATATCTCAAGAACCATTTGAGCTATTGCAATGAAATTTTACATAACAACTCCCTGTAGCCTAATGAAGACTCCTATTAATTTTTAGGTCAAAAGGTCAAAGTTCAAGGTCCTAAATTTATACATTCTGTGTGTGTGTAACACTATCATTTCTGGACGATATTTCAAGAAGATTTTGAGCTTATGCAATGTAATTCTATATCAAAACTCCCTAGGACCTCTCTCACCCCTCTCAAAGTACCCCGCCCCCTTTGTTTTATCAGTATATTTATAGTATTACATGTCGCTATTTTTAGCACAGAGGCATGAGGAGAGTTATTGCGTATGAAACAGGTTCTCGGCGGACGTTATGTTCTTATGACATCTATTAGAACTGTTTAATTAAGGCTGAATAAAACAAACACCGTGAATTGTGTAAAATTTTGACAATACCGAACATGAATATATACATATATGTGACTTCATAATTTGCCTCTTTGTAGAGCGGCCCCGTGGTCTCGTGGTATGTCTCCCGATTCACATGTGAGAGGTCCCGGGCTCGATTCCGAGACGATGCATTATTTTTTTTCCCCGAAATACTTTTTTTTTTTTTACTAAATGATAGTATTTAGCATGTGAAATGAAAAAATTATGAGGTGTGGCTTGTACAAACTCATAAGATCATCATTACAGTGTGTTAAATATTCCAAATAAAAAGAATCTTCTATACACATAATAAAGAATAAGCAATCAAATCTTTATTGCCATATTTTATTTGCTTCAGTATATACATGTATACATTTAATAATTCTACAAATTCAGTCAGGGGGATCCGACTCCCCCCTCCCCCGAACTCTGCATTGTTTACTTTTTCCCTAAGCGGGGGACACAAATTCTCTGAATTAGCTTGTTTTCCCCAATTTTCGACCGATCAATACTGCTACATTTTTTTGGGTCGAAAACAACTAATTACCGCTTCATATTGAACTATAGCCAGGTACACTGTATGGTACGAATATGAGTTCCAATCAGCAGAACTCACGCACTATGTAGTGAAGAAATTTAACAATTTTGATTTGAATTCTGATCAAAAGAATGTGAAGACTGTCGGTTTTATCCATAAACAATGCTTGATTTTATTTTTCAACTTTTTAAATTGTTTCATGAAATAAAATAGATTTTAAATAAAAATAATTTTTAAAAAAAAACCTCCATGTGGTTAGCAGGAGAATTTATACTTGTATATTTTGTACTTAAAATCAATCTGTACACACATAAGTGACTGGCTAACGACAATGGCAATGTAGCGGTAATTTATACTTTTATAATATTATGTAGCGGTAATGTAACGTTTTTTGTAGCGGTAATGACTATGTAGCGGTAATGGAAATTTAGAAAACACACCCACTAAAAAAGTATCTAAAACTTTTTAATTTCTATCACCGATAATATAAACGATTTTTGTCCGATATGCCTTTAGATTGAAGAGTCTACAAAATAATACAAGCAACAGTGGACCGGGTAACTCTGTTCCGACAGATGGCAGCACCGCAGATAAACTCTGGAGAGAGTTTGACCTCAGAAGAACCGCAGCAGTGGGCGAGTTACAACCTAAACCCGAAAAAACTGAGCCCCCAGACACCGCCGTTATCCCTGAAGAAGAGTCCAACTACCTCAGAAACATCGCTGATGTAATTTTACATCCCGAAATTTGATTGTTTCTTGATTATTATAAAGTAAAAAATAAGCTAAAATTAGATACATTGTATTCATATTAATACCAATTTGATTTAAAAAATACCACTGTTGATTAAAAGAACTATAGATGGAATTTTTATGAGGAAATATGTCATCAGTTTTTTAAAATTAAATGTATATCATATACAGAAGTCAATTTAATCAAACGAATCAGGGCAGGGCAGACATGGACCTCTAAAACATGAGAAATATAGTGAATTTTCTTAAGGAAAGAAATGTTGGTAAGTGACGGTAACATGTTTTTTGTTTTTCAGTCGGCATTCGAATTTTGTTGCAAAGAACATGATCAGCAACAGAAAGAGTTGGTAAGAGCATTGAGCTATCATCCAAAGGTAAATAAACTAGTATATTATCTTAGTTTTATATTAGTTTTTTTTTTTCGCCGTACGTTGAGATTCATTTAAAAGCTCAAAAACAACATCAAAACAGAAAATATTTCACAATTGAATTGGCTGTGCTTTCTGTCTTAATTTTTCTTTATGATTAATTACATGTAAGAGTTGTAAAGTCTCTCTCAATGTATGTGGTTTAAATTGTTTAAAACGTTTGAAGACAAGTTTAAATTGTTTAAAACGTCTGAAGAAATCAATGAAAGCGCCTACGTTTTAACAAGTGTTGCCTTTTTTTTTTACATCTTTGCGCAGGCGAACAATATATCCGAAGACCAGACTGAAGCAGCAAGACTGTTTCAGGAGGAATTGGAATCTGACGTCACACAGTACTTAGTTCAGGTAAAGGGGGTTTCTTTATTGTAAATAAAATTGATTTAGAAACTTTAAGATGACTTTAACAATATTTATTATTATTTGAATACTATATTATCGTATTTATGTCAATTTATATTTACCGATGTTTTTTTAGCTCACCTGAGCCGAAGGCTCAAGTGAGCTTTTCTGATCAAAATTTGTCCGTTGTCTGTCGTTGTCGTTGTTGTCGTCGTAAACTTTTCACATTTTCATCTTCTTCTCAAGACCCACTGGGCAAATTTCAACCAAACTTTCCACAAAGTATCTTTGGGTGAAGGGGATTCAAGTTTGTACAAATGAAGGGCCATGTCCTCTTCCAAGGGGAGATAATTCTGAATAAGTGAAAAATTAATGGCATTTTTTAAAAATCTTCTTCTCAAGAACCACTGGGCCAGGAAAGATGAAACTCATGTGGAATCATCTTCAGATAGTGTAGATTCAAATTTCTTCAAATCATGACCCCAGGGGTAGGATGGGACCACAATAGCCAATCAAATATTTACATAGGAGTATATCGGAAAAATCTTAAAAAATCTTCTTCTCAAGAACCACTGGGGCCAATAAAAGTTTTACATACATGTAGGAATATATAGGAAAAATCTTTAAAAATCTTCTTCTCAAGAACCACTAGGCCAGGAAAGATGAAACTCATGTGGAATCATCTTCAAGTAGTGTAGACTCAAATTTCTTCAAATCATGACCCCCGGGGGTAGGGCGGGGCCATAATGGCCAATAAAGGTTTTACAAAGGAATATAAAGGAAAAATCTTTAAAAATCTTCTTCCCAAGAACCACTGGGGCAGGAAAAATTAAAACTCATGTGGAATCATCCTCAGGTAGTGTAGATTCAAATTTGTTCAAATTATGGCCCCCAGGGTAGGATGGGGCCACAATGGCCGATCAAAGTGGGCCACAATGGGGAATCAAACTTTTACATAGAAATATATAGGAAAAATCTTTAAAATTCTTCTACTTAAGAACCACTGGGCCGGGAAAGATGAAACTCATGTGGAATCATCCTCAGGTAGTGTAGACTTTAGTTTGTTCAAATCATGACCCCAGGGATAGGGTGGGGCCCAAAGGTCGATCAAATTTTTTCATAGAAAAATAAAGGAAAAATCCCAAGAACAGAAAAGCTATGTATGTAAGTCTCATTGACATGTAAGCATCCTCATGTATTGAAGATTTAAATTTGTTCAAATCATGGCCCTTTTTGGTAGAAAGGGTAGCCCCCCCCCCCTCAGTAAACTTTTCAGTTCTTATCTGATCTGTGCTTTTTCCTTGTCGATGTGCTCAGGTGAGCGATGTGGCCCCTGTGCCTCTTGTTTTTTGTTTCAATCAGAGATTGCATTTGTCAATGATTTTATTTATTTAACAAGTGTTTACACTATTTTATCATATTTTAAACTCCTATCTTTAACAAATACTTCCACAAGAAATTAACAAGACTTTTATCTGGTATTAAATGAAAAGATATGCCTGAGATAGAGGATAAAGATTATCTGTGTTATATACCGGTATATATACAACTAAAATACGTTTCATCGACATGCGGGCACCATTAATTCTAAAGTCTATTCACTATTTTTCCCAGAAGTGCACCCATGATGTGTTAAAAGACAGAGAAGGAAAGATCGTGCTTCAAAATAATGAGAGAATACAGCGGTATCTAAAAGCTTGTGTCGATGTATGCTGGTATGTACAAGTACATCATAAGGGGGGCAAGTTCGTCTGGGATATCCCAAGAAAGCAGCCAAAAGAGACTTTCAAATTAATCACAACTAACTGCAAGGAAAGTGACACATGTAAACTGCGAGTGAATAGACCAGCCCTCTGCCTGGATAATCGGGTATTGAATAAAGGAAAATATTCCTGCGTGTCTTGTACTCTCGGTAGTTATGATCCAGGAGAAAAGCAGACAACAGCAGAGAGGAGAGGAAGCACGCCCCAATCAGCTGCTGGCAGCGGTGTGAATCAGGAGAAATCTGGGGAAAATACCAAAGAGGCCAATACAGAAAGTAAGAGAGATAGTCCCTATTAAAAGAAACGATCTCCTAGGGACGGGAAATCAACTCCAGAACCGAAGAGCGGTCCATCTAACAACAAGGACAAAGACAGTATCGAGATGAAAAAAGCAAAAACTGTTTAGATTTCTAACTTTATTATTAAATAGGATCCACCTTAACCTCTGGTATCATACAAGTTTTACTTGGAAACAATGGTGTTAAATTGTACAAACAGTTGTTATAAATAATTGATACTGATATTCATAAATATATGTCCATATATATTGTTGTGGATTTTTTTTTCCAAAATAAAATAATTGAGTCAGGCAAAATAATACTGATCGAAGAAAGTTTTGTAGGTTTATTGAAAAAAAAATGTTTATCAAATAGAAATTTAATTTTTTTGAATATTGAAAATTAATGTAAATTTTTCATCATGATCTGCGAAGTAATGAAGATTATCAGGGTCTTGATAATTATTGTTATATCTTTAACATGTGTTTATATATAAATATATACGGAAAAAGTCTAACATGTGTAATGTTTTACTGAGCGCGCATAATAAATAAATTTTGAGTATAAAATATATTTTATTCATAGAAATGGATTGAACAGCAGGCATAAATGCCTATGATCGTTCTCTCTCAAATAAATCGATTTTTGACCACTGAGTGAGATGTTGGATCTGTCGAGAAGATGTTGGACCGCCTACGTTATACAACAGTGACGGAGCTGGGGTTACATCACAGAAGACATTACAAGATACATGTACATGAATGTCAAAAAAATTAAAATAATAGGTATAACAAAACATTTATTGACTGTGTTCTCGGGAAAAATGCGTTTTGTCGACCTTCGAACAATACTGTCTAACGGCCTCCGGCAAACAGTTTGGTTCTTGGGTCCGACAAAACGCATGAATGTTGCCCTCGAACTCACTCAATAAATGTATAGACGTCGCGCACGGTGTTAGTGTCAAAAGGTTAAAAAATACTATTGCGGCGGCATTTGCGCTATTTTCATAATTTTAAAACAATTCACTATATAAAAACTATTTATCATTCGGTCGTTAATTGTATACTTAAATCATTTTAACAAAAATATTAATAAAAAAATTCCAATTATCAAATAATTAATTCGACTATTCCGTCAATTACGTGAAAAATGCATGTAGATCGGTAACAGGAGCGTCGCACACGCAATTACAAAATGTTGATAACTGCCTTAAAACAAAAAATACAAACATAAAATTTGGCAGAAAAATTCAAAATACGATGTAGATGATGTAAATTATTAAAATTGTAATGTCATTTAATCTGTATGCTCTGAACGCGTCGCTCAAAATCCAAGATTGATGTTTAGACAAGCGTTAATCGACGAAATATGGGATACACATAAAAAGTCTTCGGTTACTTAAAAGAATAATTACATGAGATGTATTTATTGAAGTTATCATAACACGTGTATCAATCGGACACGTGTTAATCTAGTGTATATGAAGAGTGTCGGTCTGATTGGTTAAAGTACATGTATTTATAGAATACCTGTTCTACAGGTATTCTGTTAAAGCACGCACGCTTTAGCGTGTGTAAAATTTAAATGCCATTCGAAGGCTCTTTCTCAGTGCAGTCAGACGCATCTATTCAGTGTCCCCATGGATTATGAGCGGCATATTTCTATGTCTGACGAAACACATGGAGGAATTCCTTTGTTACTTGAGTCAGAAAAGTCACAGTCCACGTCTAATTCATTTGCATTTTTGCTGCTATTTAAACCCGAAAACGTAGCGGGTTAAATGAAATACGAGGGAAACAAGGTATAACATTTGTTTAACAAGGAATTATTAAGAGCTACTTGATATTAATTCAAGGTATTTTATGTTTGTAATAACAAAGCTCTTAAGATACCATCGTAAAAAAAAAACAAACAAGACATAAGTATAATAGAAATACAGGCAGTTCTCCAGCAGGGTGGAGACGGCATGAAAGTATCATTATAATGAATCTTAGTAAAGAGAGTAAATTGCTTTTCTTCCAATCCTATGGTGAACCTTTTTCCCTTGCTGTTGTTGCTTTCGAATTCAGCGCTTACATTGCAACACCTCAGTCCAGGGACTCGTGCTACAAGTGCTTGCAGACGGCCAGGGTTGGCACCTCAACAATCAATACATCAGCGGTAGAAACTCCAATCCATTTGAAGTGAAATTGATAAGTATATATTATCAGTAGATATGTTTGATAAGATAACGATTGAACATTGCAGGTTTTTATCAATAAAATTTTCATATGGATCTTAAAATAAATGAATAATAGTTTAATTGTGAAATCATTATGATTCCTGGGAAATATTCTGAGATGTAAACGACTTTATATTCATTTAGCAAATAGCCCATTTAGAATTAGTATACAAAATCTACTCTATAGAACTTTTCGTTTATTTCAGAAAGCATTGGAGATGTTATCATTTCAGGTTGTGTTAAAAAATACATTTGAGCGTAACAGAAAAGAGGATAAAGAAGTGTTTGATTTTAGTTACGATGGCATTGAAATGTGAGAGTCATTTGAAGAGTGTGTCAGAGAATTTTAAGGTTTAATTATCAAGTTATCCTTAGACGAGGTAAGATTTAAAAAATCGATTTTCAGTACAGTGCAAGATTTAAAATGGTCGGGTATCAGATGGAATTCATGAGCATTCAAAGCTTCCATCCCAGAAAGAAGAATTCAAAAGACAAATATTGTTCTATTTCTTCAGATTAATCTAAGACTTCTGCTAGTCGTCAGAAAATAATGTCATTATGGGTAACGTTTGTGTAGGTTGTTAGGAAAATGTTTCTATATGCTTTACAAACATTTTGGGACGGTACACTTTATTTTAAGATTTCAATTAAGAAGATATGGTTGAAAATTTGTTTATCATATATCCGAAACTTTTGTGAAAGAGAACGTAAGATTATACAAAGAGAAAGTACATTGGTAGATTCAGTTGCTAGCGCAGTAGGTGCTGGGGTATAAGGGCAATAACTATGCAAAATGGAAATTGGTTTCTTTTTGGACTTTAGTGTATAAAGACAAAGTTTCAACTCATTAATATTTCACAGATATATTGAAATACAAGATGTGTCTGAATCTACCTGTACATGTATGTACATGCTCAAAAGAGAAAGTTAAAACATTGTTTTTGGTTTGATCTGGTTCTTTTTTCCAGTATAAGAAATAAGATTTTATGCAATTAACAATATGTCGTGATGATTATAAGTACTGGAAGCATGATATTAGGCACTGTGTCATTGGTAGATGTGCGTTGATGTGATATTTGCACTGCAGTTGATGTGGGTCCTGGTGCACATATAAGTGATGATTATAAGTACTGGAAGCATAATATGAGGCACTGTGTCATTGGTAGATGTGCGTTGATGTGATATGTGCACTGCAGTTGATGTGGGTCCTGGTGCACATTTAGGTGTTATGGGACCCAGTACCGTGGTAGTGCAGATGTATAAAACGGATTCCCCATTCGTTGTTTATCGCCCTGGTACACTTACTACACTATTGTACTGTTGATGTCAAAATTATAAAGTTTTCAAAATGAATTATCAAAAATATATTTAAATAAAGTCATTGTTTACATTATGGCCCTGGTATACTAATGTACTGCAGATGTAAAAATTTGAAGTGTTGAGAATGTAGTATCCAAAACATATTTAAATAAAGCTGTTGTTTAAGACCCTGGTACAATTTTGTACTACTGATGTTGAAAATTAAAGTTTTCAAAATATATTTAAATAAAGCCATTGTTTCAGGCCCTGATACACTATTGTTCTGCATATTTCAAAAAAAAAAGGTTTTTAAATACAAAATATTATAAAGTAGTTAATGTTTAATGCCCTGGTACATGTAATTTTTGTACAGCAGACGTCGACAATTAAAGTTTCAAAATGAAGGATACAATGATATAAAATGAATTCACTTTTAAAAGCCCTGGTACACCATTGTACTGCAGATGTCGAAAATTAATATTTTCAAAATAAAAAATACAATGGTTTAAAATGAATTCACTGTTGTAGGCCCTGGTACACTTTTGTACAGCAGATGTCGAAAATTAAAGATTTCAAAATGAATAATACGATGATTCAAAATGAATCACTGTTTAAGGCCCTGGTACACATTTGTACTGCAGATGTAGAAAATTCAAAATTTTCAAAGTGAATAATACAATGGTAGAAAAGTAAATTCACTGTTAAAGGCCCTGGTACACTTTTGTACAGCAGATGTCGAAAATTTAAGATTTCAAAATGAATAATACAATGATGTAAAATGAATCACTGTTTAAGGCCCTGGTACACATTTGTATTGCAGATGTCGAAAATTAAAGATTTCAAAATGAATAATACAATGGTGTAAAATGAATCACTGTTTAAGGCCCTGGTACACATTTGTACTGCAGATGTCGAAAATTAAAGTTTTCAAAATGAATAATACAATGGTATGAAATGGATTCACTGTTTAAGGCCCTGGTACACATTTGTACTGCAGACGTCGAAAATTAAAATTCTCAAAATGAATACTATAATGGTTTAAAATGAATCAGTGTTTAAGGCCCTGGTACACTTTTGTACTGCAGACGTCGAAAATAAAAGTTTTCAAAATGAACAATACTATGATATAAAATGATTTCACTGTTTAAGGCCCTGGTACACATTTGTACTGCAGATGTCGAAAATTAAAGTTTTCAAAATGAATAATACAATGGTATGAAATGAATTCACTGTTTAAGGCCCTGGTACACATTTGTACTGCAGATGTCGAAAATTAAAATTTTCAAAATGAATAATAAAACTGTATGAAATGAATTCACTGTTTAAGGCCCTGGTACACATTTGTACTGCAGATGTAGAAAATTCAAAATTTTCAAAGTGAATAATACAGTGGTAGAAAAGTAAATTCACTGTTAAAGGCCCTGGTACACTTTTGTACTGCAGATGTCGAAAATTAATGTTTTCAAAATGAATAATTCGAAATATATTAATATAAAGTCACTGTTTAAGGCCCTAGTACACTAATGTATTGCAGATGTCGAAAGTTTTCAAAACATATACAATAAAGCCATTGTTAATGACCCTGGAACATTATTGTACTGCAGATGTTTGAATGTTGTTTTCTCAGCTTTGGAAATTCAATTCATGTTTATCAAACAGAGTTCATCAAGTTGTGTATTGCAGTGACAAGGCCCTGATACACGCAGA